ATTCTTGAGTGAAAAATGAAGCCCCAGAAGTATTTTTTCCAACGGTGGTGGCCCCATAGCTTAAATCCAAGTATACAAAAGGATAGGCCTGATTTAGCGAGGGTTGTCCGACTCTCTCTTAACGGTTCATGTCTATCTTCTTCCCCAACTTGGTTTCTTCTCTCCTTTCCAATTTTCTTCAACTCCAAACCCATAAACAAGTTGTTTTGAAATATTTTTTTCAAAGATTTCATCTATCCTTTATTCATTTCCACTTTGTCCTTGCTCAGTTTATCGAAAAGCGCGACATTTAACAAAATGCGAGCATCAGAACATCGTAGGAATCATTTTCAAAAGCATTTTGAAAGAGAAGGTTTCAAGGTCTAAAATCTTTGGTCAAAATAGTTTTGGTCCAAAAATGGGGTATAAGGTTTGGATTTGACTCTCTCCTTGCCAAAGAAACCGAACCTTTGCACCGCACAACTTTTAACACCAAGTAAACCATCAGTAACGCCCAAGTCTTAAGGGCAGTCAAAAATGGGGTGTCTACAGTAACATGATTTAAAAATACCATGTAGCGATCCCAATTTTTCCACTTCGCTGAGTATGTCGAGGATCGAGCTGCCCGGTCAGCTCGCGGTGGTCCAGGGGGCAACGTCCCTTGGCGAGTCCTAGGGCAGCGCCCTGGCAGGTGTCGAGCTGCCCGGTCAGCTCGAGGGTCCTTGTCCGCTCAAGCGGCCGTTTATGCGCTCGAGCGGAGAATGTTTGGTTCCAGAAGTTTGACCTGTCTACAAAAGTACTGGGAAAGTGTATTTGACGCTCGAGCGGGGCTTTCTACGCTCGAGCAGACCATGTTATATCAGTTCGTGAATTTGATATTTCATATCACTTTTGTATATCCCTCTCTCTAAAAACCATTTCCTCTCCCTTCTCTCTACATTTCCCTACGCCAAATTGGATCAAAACCTTGATTTCTCAAGATCCATTAGAGTTCTTCTATAGGTTCTTCATCAAAGTTGGTTAACTTTTCGAGAGCTTTGTTGTGTGCGGTGGAGATCAAGTTTCGACACTGTTAATTTTGGGGGTTTCATCTCATTTCTTCTTCAAAACTTGAGGTAGGGATTTTCTTAGAGTTATATATATATATATATATTTGCAAGATCTAGATGATTTTTGAAATCATCTTTCGATAGCTTTGAAAATTGATTGTTGATTCAAGAAGTTGAGCGTTTTTGAAAGTGGGTTTGTCTCTTGTTCTTTTAAAATGATCTTATGGGTTTTGATCTTCGTTGATTGAAGAAAATATGATTTTGGAAAGTTTTCTTTCAAAATATTTGAGTTGTATAGTTTTGGTGAGAAAACCTAGAATTTTGAGACTTTTTTTAGAAGACTGAAAATCCATGAATGATATTGTTATATTTATTTTGTGTGTCAAAATAAATGGATGTTTGGAAAATTTCTTATTTATATTTATATAAATGATGAATTTCAGGGAATATAAAGATTGTTGTTCATTTTGAAAATTATTATTCAAAACATTGAAATAGTCTTGAAATAACAAATTGTTGAGGATACTTGAGAAGAGAGAATTGTGTTATTCCTTAAATGATGAATTAGAATAAAGTTATTTATATTCATCTTGTGAAATTGGCATTTCAATTCATTTGATTACATTAAACTTTGAAAGTTGATTTGAAAACTTGCATTGAGAAAAGAATGTTGAGAAACAAGTTTTCATGGAATGGTTTTGGGGTAAATACGTTGGTAAGTCTTGATAGGTGGTGTAGATGATATTGAATAAGTTGGCCTGAGAGTTCGGGGTGAAAGACCGAAAACCCGAGCGGATAGGTGTCGAGCCTTCCGGTTAATACAGGTAAAAATGACAATTTGGTAGTACTTGTATAGCCTACTTGCAGACACCGACCTAGGGATTACCAGAGTCGTATTTACCATCCTTGAAATAAATTGTTAAGTTTTGAACAATTGAAATTGCATGATATCATTGCGCATGATGGTTTTCAAAAGATGAAAATGTGATTTATCTTCAAAAAGGGCATAGCATGGCATGTTCATTTTATCTCTTGAGACTTGTATAATATGTATATACTTTGTTAAGAATTTCCTACTGGGCCTTATGCTCACCCTACGGGATTTTTGTGCAGGAAAATATGTGGTGATGCCACCCAACTAAGGGCGTGGAAGTATGTGTGTTGGGAGTACAATGCTCTCATTTTGTTGTGACTCTGTGTGTAAGCCAAGGGCTGTGTTTGTGTGGATTTGAATAACCATATTGTGTAATCAGGCTCAAGCCTTGGAAGCTTGTAAACCCTTGGGGGTATTTATTTGTTTATTTACTTGTTGTTGGATTAATGTGTTGTTGCATGAAGAACTATTGTATCATGTAAAGTAAGTTTGGAGATTTATATTCGGTTTTCTTTGAAAGAGCCATGATTGTTGTATTATCATTTGGGCTAGAAATTTGGGGCGTTTCAACTTGGTATCAGAGCTATCGGGTTTGAATACTTGGAGCTCGTGGGAAGTGGTTGTTTAACCACAATGGGTTCATTTAGCATGCTTAGGAAGTGTTATGCATTTTGTGACAATGTGATAACATGCTTATGTGACTGAATGGGTATGGGATTGGACTTTTGGGATGTTGTTTGCGCTTGTTAAATTCCTTGAGGTCTTATTAGAAGGGTACTTGATCAATACTCATTCTAATAAGAATTCTTGAAACACTCGACCTTTCAAAAAATAAATCTTTTTGGACCCATTCCATAGAGCATCTCATCTTTAACCTTTTTAAGCCACTTGAATCTAACTCACAATAACTTATCAGGAAGAATCCCATTAGCAAACTAACTCCAAACACTCGATGATTCGTCTATTTATGCAGACAACCCTTTATTGTGTGGGTTTCTTCTTCCCACTAAGTGCCCGGGCAATGAAGATCATGCATCTAATTCATCTACTTCTGATGGAGGAGGCTCAGAAGGCAATGGTGCTAAGAATGATAACGAAATGCTTTGGTTCTATGTTAGCATGGGCTCTGGATTCCTTGTGGGACTTTGTGGTGTTTGCTTCACTTTATGGATCAAAGAGTCATGGAGACAAGTTTATTTTCGATTTGTAGGGATAGCATAGCTATTGTTTATTTTCCTATGTTGGCTATTGTGATAAGGTTTGTAAGCTACATATGTTTGCTATATTTATTAATAAACTTGTTTATGTTGTCACTTATGCTTTGGAAACAGAGACATAACTATTGTTTATTTTACTATGTTAGCTGTTGTGATAAGGTACGTAAACTACATATGATTAGCAGCAATGTTTGCTGCTGAGCTTGTTATGTTGTCACCTAAGCTTTTTGAACAGAGGAGATTCAAGTTTATTTGAGATTTGAGGACTCTTTATAAATTTTTACATTGCAATTATATATTTAAAATTCACTTATTTGTTTTTCTTTTTTACGAGATTTATTTATAAATCTCATTTAGTGGATTTATAGCCTAATAAGTCCATAAAAGTTTCTAGTGTTCCATCAAATCCCATATATTTAAACTTATATTCCAATAGTTAATTTTTCCAATATTAGAATTATTATGTGGACTATTTTACCTTTATAGACTTTTATTATTATAATATATATATATATATATTATACCATATATCTAGGAGAGAGAATATCATTATTCGATATATTTCATTTAAGGTATATATAAAACATTGTATATAGAATATGGAAAATTATTATTCTTAGTGTTTTCTTTGCCTCAATGTGAGGAATTGATCAAGGATCTTCCTTCACCATTTTTACATTAAGATCCTACCATGGAATAATATTTAGAAGAGAAGGTTAATTGTAGACCGTTGATAGAGATAATGATGGACTTGCAATAGAGATGATGGTAAACTGGCGATGAACAATTATTTTTTTAACACTATTACATATAAACTGTAATCTTTTCGTCGGTTTGTGTAGTCACCAGTATTATGTAGTTTATTCATGAGTATTGTAGACACCCCATTTTTGATGGCCCTTAAGACTTCGGCGCCATTGATTGATCACTCGATGATGAAAGTTATGCTGTGCAAATGTTCGCTTTTATCAACAAGAAGAGCTTCTAAATCCCAACCTTACACTCCATTTTGGACAAAAACTATTTTGACCAAAATTATTTTAGACCTTAAAACCCTCTTGTAGTCATTTTAATTTAAGTTTAGAGAGAGAGAGTCTCGGATCTAGGGTTTGAAAGAAAAAGAAAGTGAAAAACTGATGTTCAAAAACGCTACTGTCCGCTGATATAAAACACGCTCGCTCGAGCGAAGGATTGGTCGCTCGAGCGACCAGACACAGAAAACTCTCGCTCGAGCCAAGAAGTTCTCGCTCTAGCCAAAAACTCAAAAGTGCGCTCGAGCGAAGGAACGCTCGCTCGAGCCAACAACACAAACCCTCAGGTCTGCAACCAGAAGCACGCTCGAGCGACAGACTTCTCGCTCGAGCGAAGAACAACCCGACCGCTCGAGCGAAGAAACCTCGCTCGAGCCAAGAAATGCAACTCTCAGGTCCAGAACCAGACGCAAGCGCTCGCTCGAGCGAAGCCACTCTGGCTCGACCCACCAGACACAATCTCAACTCTCGCTCGAGCGACCAACTCCTCGCTCGAGCGAAGGTCCAAAAATCTGGGCAGCAACATTAGGCTCCCAAACACAACCAACCTGTAACAAACCTGCCCAACACATCCTATAACTCAATATACAAAGTAAAGAGGATGCAAACAAGATAATAAATAACTACCAACATCCACGGACACATGTCCGGATCACTGTACAACAAGGGTAAACTCGGGATCGCTATACGTGTCTGTATCCTCTTTTTTTAAAAATGGCCATGTCCTGTGTTTGTACCCATGTTACCATACCTGTATTCGTGTCCGTACTTCTTAGCCTTTCAGTGCCCTGCTTTCTTAGTTGAAACATGTTTTTTTGTCACGGGCTCTAACAATTAAGGGTGCAAACAGGCTTCCATTGTCAAAGATGAACAAGTATCTGTTACTCGTGTTACGTGGAGTCCAGACGGAAATTTTATAGGTACGTGCACTTTAACTTCTGCTAGATTTCAGATTGTCCATGTGCACATTTCTTATTATTTTTCATGCTGCAGGGGTTGCCTTTACAAAGCATTTGATTCATTTGTATTCTTGCACTGGTGGGTCCAATGACTTGCACCAGCGTTTAGAGGTGAGTTGGGACATTGCTTCCTGGCCAATAAGAAATAAAATCTGTAACTTCTAATTGGCTTTCCATTCCTTTGTGGTTACAAGTTGAAGCCTATAATGGTCAAGTTAATGACCTGGCTTTTGCTTATCCAAACAAACAGCTATGTGTAGTGACGTGCGGAGATGATAAGTTAATAAAGGTGTGTGGATTGTTTTTAGGAAATTTTTTGATAGGTTTATTTGTTTATTTGCTTCTTCATTGAAGGAAACATTTGAAACAGGTTTGGGATTTAACGGGCCGAAAGCTATTTAACTTTGAAGGGCACCCAGTGGCTGTATATTCTGTATGCCCTCATCAGAAAGAGAATATTCAGGTATCTAAGATAAAGGGAAATAATTTGTTAGTTGGTAACCTATTTAGCATTTAATTGATTTATAGATGCAAGTTATTTAGCCTTAAACATGCCTAGAAGATGTATTTTGACATTTCTGTAAGGAAAAAAAATGAGGGAAAAAAAAACGGTTAAAGAATTTGTTGGGTCTGATTTATTCTGATTGCCAAAATAACAACAAATCATGCATAGGTGTTGATTTTTTCTTGTACTACACATACTTGGAAATTGTATTCTGACATTTTCACCAAACAATAGGTAAAAGAGGTCGGAATTTGTCGTACCCAATAGTTTCAAGAATCATATGAATCATTTAACATGAATCGAATTGTGAATCATGCGATTCACCATCGATTCTGTCCCAAAATAGATTCACATCGATCTATGCATGAATCATGAATTGAATTGTGAATCAAATCACGAATCGTAAGATATTGATAAGATAGGTACTATTTTCAACCACCATTTTACCTCTTAATTAATGGGAACAGTAGGACGTTATTGCTGTTAGAGATAGACTTTTATTTTGTGGAAGTTCATTTTTTAGCGGAGAACATGTTTTATTTACACAATGCTTTCCACTTGTACATTTGCAGTTTATATTCTTAACTGCTATTGATGGGAAAATCAAGGCCTGCTTTCCAGTTGGCCGAAATTATAGATCCTGCTCAATGCCAGCAGGTTACCATGCCAGACAGCATGGATGCAGTCAACAAGGTGTGTTCCTACTCATTTGTTGCTGCAGAATCTATCTATTCGATTATGCTCGACTGACACATCTACATCCAGGTTGCTTGACTACTCTATACAAATTCCGGTTTTGGTGTTTTGGCACTTGGGTCTAATGGGATTCAGAAGTTATGGAAGTGGACACGCAGTGAACAAAATCCAGGTGGAAAGGTAATAGCCAGTTGGGAGTAATTTCATTTGCATGTTTTCCTGTTTCTTTTCTTTTATTAGTCGATATTTGTGGAGGAGAATTCTGAACTTGGTGAGGGTCTAAAGGCCACTGCCAATGTTGTTCCACAGCAATGGCAACCAAACAATGGTCTTGTTATGACTAATGATGTCACAGGTGTCAACCTCGAGGAAGCAGTGCCTTGCATAGCACTCTCAAAGAATGACTCTTATGTAATGTCAGCCTATGGCGGCAAGGTTTCGTTGTTCAACATGATGACATTCAAGGTATGTCTGCACGTGGTTGTTAGAATTTTACAATTCACAATTCAATTTGTATGATCCGATACGAGTTTCAAGCAAAATGATTTGATTCGTGAAGTTGATTTTTATATTATGTGAATCCTATGATTCAATTGCGATTCACTGCAATTTAATTCTATTTGCATAATGCATGAAAGTGTCGTTTTCTCAACAAAAAAAAAGAAAAAAAGAAAAAGAGAAGAGATCAACTAATTATATTGATATACGTGGTTTTATATGTGTACATATATATGATCTAGTTATATTTATGAAGGATTAAAGATGAGATTGTTTTGAAATGTAGGTAATGACTAGGTTTATGCCACCTCCACCTGCTTTAACCTTCCTAGCATTTCATCCTCAAGATAATAACATCATAGCCATTGGAATGGAAGATTCAACTATCCATAAATACAATGTTCGGGTGGATGAGGTAATTGCTTTCTATCATGTCCTATCAAATATTTGTGCCAATCACATAATTAGAAGCAATCTGATACACTTTGTGTTTTATAGGTTAAATCAAAACTTAAAGGTCACCAAAAGCGTGAATCTGGATTAGCTTTTTCTACCAATCTTAACATATTGGTTTCATCAGGAGCTGATGCTCAGGTAATTTTTCTTACAGTTTTCCTTGTCATCTGAGATCATTTAACTATTTTCACTTTGAAAAACATCTAAATCCAGTGTTTGCTTTGAACCTAAACTCAACGAGAAATTGGGAAGGAGCTTCGTTCTCCTACTTCTTCAGTTCCTCCTTGCAGAGACCTCATGTTTCAGCACCCAATGACCAAACCTTGCGATCTTCTTGCCGAATTGCCTTTATCTATTGAGGGCATTTATTGATAGAGTTTTGTGGGACTTTTGGTGGATAATATTGAGGGCATTTATCTACTGTGGGAAGTGTTAAGTTTAGCTGTTAAGGCAATTGTGTTGGTTCTTTAGCTTAAAATGTGTGCAAAGCATATAAGCTCATTATCTGTTTGTATATATGCTTCAAAGAATTGTGACAGTTGCATACTGAGGTGAAATGCAGGGTATGTTCAACTTTATTTAGTCAACACTTGATTTCAATTACTCGATTGTGTTAATCTTTACCCATTATGTTGTTGTGAAATGTATCAACAAACTGCATTGCCACTGTAATCGATTTTGTGTCTTTAATCGATTTTGCATTTCCAATCGTTGCATAAGAAGCTTATTGTTTTCACTATTTGCATCCTGTGCTAATTATGCTAGATGTGCGAATCAGATTCTACAAAATCTGACCAACATGCAGGTGCTAATCTTAAACCATATATCACGCATCCACTATTTGAGTCTTGCTTCATCTCTTACATTGTCTCTCCTGTTGTGTAGTCTTCGTTCTTATTATTTATTTCCATATTAAAGTTGTGGCTTAGGATTCCATTGGAGAAGTCTGATAATGATGCTATGAATGGGAACTCTGATCATCTGGTGAGTATTACTTTCGCAATTGCAGTTGAAATCATATAGCTTACAAATCTACAGTTGAAGATGTTTATTTAGTCAAGCTGTTGCAGTTTGAACTTGCTGTATGTGAAATATGCCAGTACCCAAAGTTGATCTTGCTTATTAGGGGTGGAGAGCTGGAGTGCATGCGTTTTAATTTTCTGATTTGTTTGAACTTAGCATATGCAAATGGAAAGTTATTCTGTCACGGAATTGCTTCCTGTCATCTTGGGGTTATGCCTCTCTCTTATGGCTGGATCATTTGCAGTTTCTTTGCTCCTGTCCAATTAATTTTTGAATCATAAAGTGTGTTTTTTTTGGCCTAACAAGATTGATTTTTTATTTTTTGAATCCTGAAGGTCTTCAATAACACATCATTTGAAAGATATGCTACCTAGAGAAGTAATTAGTGTCTGATATAACTGCTCAACCTCCAATTAGCAATCATTGAATTGTATTTGTGTTGGAGTAGGATTTGACAATGTATTTGTGTTGGAGTAGGATTTGACAATGCATTCTATGCTTGAATAACTATGCCTGAATGAATTCTATGCCTGATAGTTAACTATGCCTGAATAATTAGTATTTGTAAGATATGCTATCATTGAATTCTATGTTCAGAGGAGATGTGTGTCACATGTCTATATACGGTGCTTGTGGTTTTGTTAGAAGTTTGCATGTTTTGCTTTTACTGGTTCAGCAAGTTAACTTCATCTTTTTATATTGATTATAGTATCGTAAAGTGGTTGGACTTTGTCCCCTAATTTTTATGTCTCTTTGATTGCACATAGTTTATACCTTTTTAGTTTTGCACATGTTACAAGTGTTTCACTTCATGGTTGAATGTATAGTGAGTAACCCCCTTTGTTGTTGCAGTCATTATCTCACTTAAAGAGCAGGTGGAGGGGATACAGGTATTTCACTTTTTTTCAAAATCTTACTGGCAGGGTTGTTATGGCTGTTAGCTTATTAATCATCGCGTACTGAAATTTGCAGGTACAGCAACAGGTTATATTCGGTAGTGTTGTTTCATAGTGACATAATTTTGGGCCATCATTGAAAAGTGGATCAAAAGTTGGGAAATCTAGCTCTAATGGTAATGGTGACCGATGGGCTAGAAATAGGGCTGTTTCTTCGGTATGTTCTTACCTTGTTTAAGTTATTTTCTTTTTGAACAATAATAAAGATATTGATTTTTTTCATGGTTTGGGTAGAGAGTAACTTCAACAAAGGGTTCAAGGCCAGAATCAATCATGTCTATTCACGAACCAGACGAGCACCCTTCCCAACATATTTCTTAAAAAGTTCACGAAGCTAAATTGTACAAGACTACTTGGCAGTATAAGCATTTTTGGGAGGATTAAATATTTTTGGATGGATGTGTATGGATAACAAATATTAGTAGTTTTATTTGTTGATAGCTGCACCTGTATAACAAATAGTTATGTTTCAAATTGTTATGCTAGATGGATGTGACTTGTGAATGAAAACTTAGAATAGTTGTATTGTGTCGAATGTTAATGAATTATGTATTGTGTCGAATGTTAATGATTCAGTTAATTTGAATGATGCTATAAAATTATAGGTTTATTATGGATTGAATGAATTATTAGGAATTACAGGTGTATTGTTTTCCTGCTTTGCTGACCAATTTATTAGTCGCGACAAATAAATAATTTTTTTTCGCAAAAAATGACAATTGCCGACCAAGAGTTTTGGTCGCAAAAAATGCATCTATTGCCGACCAAAACAGCTCTTGGTCGTGGAAACTCACTTTTGCCGACCAAAAGTTTTGGTCGCGAAAAGTAACAAATGGCGACCAAATTTTTTGGTCGTGGAATGTCACAATTGGCGACCAAACTTTTTGGTTGCGAAATGTGTCAATTGGCGACTAAGATATTTGGTCGGGAAAATATCACTTTTCGCGACCAAAGTATTTTAGCGACAAA